TCAGGCCTCCCTGAACTACAGAGTGAAATTGTGTTTATTTTTATTTAAGATATTTTTGTATGATATACTTGATCAAGTTCTTTTTCTTCTCCTTAGTTCCTCCCAGATCTTTTTGATCTTCCTACTCACCTAGCTTGATGCACACACAACTCTCTCTCAAAGGAAAAAAAAATATCAAATAGAAAAAAACACAATAAGACAAAATAATAAAAATTAATCAAAAGCAAACTAAACTGAAAAGTACACAGAAAATCTGGATTCCTGTTTGTGTTGGCTGACTACTCCTGGGCATTGGGCCTGGTTTGGAGTATTGTTGATATACCCAGTGTCACTCCATTGAGAAAACTGATACTCCCTTTCCAGAAGTTACCAGTTCCAAATAGCTTTTTGGTACCCAGTGTAACTTTGTGGTCACTTCTTCATGCTGGGATTTTGTCTGGTTTAAATGTTTTCAGATTTGATGTTGTTAGTCTCTGTGAATTCATGTGTATCTTTCCTGTTGTGTCTGTAAATGCTGTTTCTTTGGAGCCATCCACCCCCTCTGGTTCTTATATTTCTGCATCTTTCATCCTTGAGATCCTTGAGAGGAGGGCTTTGATGTAGACATTCCGTGTAGGGCTGCATACTCCAAAGCCTCTTACTTTTTGCACATTGTAGGTCTCCTCTGTATTTCCCATATACTGCAAGAAGCAGCTTATCTTATAAAGGCTGATCTTATAAAGTGCGGAATAGCAATATCTCATTAGGAGTAATTTTATTGCTATGTTCCTTTAGCACAGTGGTTTTCAACCTTCCCAATGCTGTAAGGGTTAAGTAAAAAAACATACAATTATTTTTTGTTGGTACTTCATAACTGTAATTTTGCTACGGTTATAGATGTAGTATGCATACCGATATGCAGGATGGTCTTAGGCGACCCCTGTGAAAGGGTTTCGAGCCCCCAAAGAGGTCTTGACCTACAGCTTTAGGACTGCTGTTGGAGCAGAATAGTAGTAGTGTTTCCCCCTCTGCCTTAAACCTGTCTAGTCTTAGTTTCTTAGCCACTTCAACAGTGTCAGGTATGGTTTCCAGCTCATGGAATAGGCCGTAAACCAATTCAAGCAGTGGTTGGTTATTCTCATAACTTTAGTGCCACTATTGCATCAGTGTATCTTACAGCCAGATCACTGTTGGAGGTTGCAGGATTTGTAGCTGGGTGACATTGATGACACTCTTCTCTTGTAGTATGCAAAGTTCCTTCCAGCCCTGTGAACTCTAGTCAGTAGGAATGAAGCTTATAGTGGGCGCCAGCTTGATGTCTCCAGCAATAGGGCCTTGCTGTTAGGTTGTGGAATGTAATCAGTAGTCTTGACAATAGCCTGTGATATTTGGGAGGAGCTTCTATGGACCCCTTTTGTCAGCTCAGTAAGATATAACCCATTCCTGGCACTAAGGGCGTTACTTTACTTGGTGGCTTAAACTGTCTAGTTAGGGAGGGTTTTGTCTCCCCTATTATGTGGCTTATTCATTTAAATTCCTTTCTTTTATGTATATATTTTAATAAGTTTCTACAGTTGTAGGGTTCCATATGACATTTCAAAGGGCTTTCAGTGTTAGTTGTTCATTCCCATATTCTCTTCTTTACCCTGGCCTCTTGTTTACCTCCTCATTTAATCCTTTCTCTAGTTTCCTTGTTAACTCCTTATAACATTGTATTCTGTTCTCCCTTACTTGGAAGATTGTCCTTCCCTCCTGATCCATTACTAGGTACCCAACTTCTGAAGTTATTCCAAATACGTGTCTAAATCTTAAAAGTAGAATCCACATATAAGAATGTATGCATTGTTTGTTTAAAAACAATAAAGCACAAATAAACAAGACTTTATTGCAGGCCAAGGAAAATTCCTTAACTTTCAGAGTGTGAATGTATACCTTTCCACATGGAAAATTAAACTCAAATCATGAGTTTTAGACTTTATTTCAAGATGTAATCATGAAATCATAATAGCTAGTAAATTTTTTCAACATGTTATAGCTACTCTGTAAATACTTTATTTCTTAAGGTCATTCAGTCCAGTATATGATTCAGTGATTGTGCATGAAGTTATGGGATTGAAAGTATTTATAGACCAGTATAGACACAGAAAAGATTTATTCAGGAAAATGACAGCGCTGTAAGAGACAGTCTCTATAGGAAACTGGCCTCTGAGAATGTGGGTTCCATATGATAGTAGTAAAGTTTACATGTCTATTATCTTGTGATTGGCTATTTGAGGTAAGGTAGCATAGATCATTAGGACTTACTCTAAATGTTTGCTGAGGTTACTGCAATCAGGTCCCACGGTGTCAGAGTCTGATTGTTTGGCAGTTTCTCTTTTTATTTTCAACCCCCCTTTTCCACCTTTATTTCAGTAATTTTATCTCAGCACTGACTTGATGCTTGCGATTTGTGGTTAATAAAACAGATCAGTTATTTTGTCTGTTGAATAATTAATGTATCATGCCCTAGGAAGATAGGTATTAAAAAGTAAATTGAAGACTAAGGGAAGGGGAGTTGGGATGGAGTTGGGGGTTGGTGGAGGAGTAACCAGGAAGGGGGATATCATTTGAAATGTAAATGAATAATAAAAAAGGAAAAAAAAGTAAATTGAAATTTGAGATGTTTTAGACAACCTCTATGAAGTGGTATGTGAGCTTGTAAAGGGACTGTGTGTGTAATATTACTGTTGACTGTTTTTTGAGCTTAAATGCAAAAGTTATACTAAAAACCATTCTTTGGTTACTTGTTTTATTTCATGTTTTTTGAGATGGGATAATTATGCTCTGCAGTCCAGGCTGGCATAGAGTTTGTGATTCCCCTATTATAGGCATATGCTACCATACACACACACACACACACACACACACACACACTTTATGAGATTTGTTTTGTATTCATGTGTATATGTGGTTTGACTCTTTGTACATGTGAGTACCTGTAAAAGTCAGAAGACATCAGATCCCCTTGAGCTCGAGTTAGTCGGCTGTAAGCTGTCCAGTGTGCGTGCTGGGAGCTGAACCCCAGTCCTGTTTACGAGTAGCAAGCACTCCTGATGTCAGCATTCTCTCCCAGCTCATAAAATAGTTAATATAATATAGTGCTCAACAACCATTTTCTTTCTTCCATCTGGCCTTAAACTCTCTGTGTAGCTCAGGCTATCCTCAAATTCCTCATTCTCCTCCTCCTACCTACCTAGTGCTAAGATTACAGCACATGCTATCTCTTTGGAGTCCATATCTACTTTTAAAAATATAATGTAAAACTGTTATTGTGTGTACATATGTGTGGATGTCCATGTTTGTGTGTGCCACAGTACACATGGCACTGTGTAGGAGTGGGGGTCAGACCACAGCTTGTGGAGCTCGTTCTTCCATTTCCCTTTGTGTATCCTGGTGAGCAAACTTGGAGCAGCAGGCTGGTTACTAGGGGCCTTTGGCCTATAGAGTCATTATGCCAGCTGAAAGGGTTTGTGGCACCATGAGGAGAGCAACAATACCAACCAACCACAGCTCCCAGGGTCCTAACCACCAGCCTGGGAGCACTTATGGAGGGATGGCTTCAGCTGAATATGTAAAAGTGGAGGGCCCTGCTGGGCACAGGTGGAAGATGAGATCCTTGACCTCATGAAGGCTGGATGCCCCAGGGGGTGGGAATTTTCAGGGTGGGGAAGTGGGAGTGGGGGGGGTAGGTGGGGGTTACATCCACAGAGAAGAAGGAGGAGGGGTAAGGGGATGGGGGGTTCCCGGGTGGGTGGGGGATGGGTAAGGGGATAACATATGAAATGTAAATAAAATATCCAATAAAAAAAAAAAGAAATCTGAAAAAAAAATATTTATCATTATTTCATGTATGTTTGATGTACGTATGTGGCGTCTTTTTGAAATCATCAGTTTTTACTTTTGTGTGATTTCTGGGGATTGATTTTTGGCTTGTCAGGCTTGAACAAGTGTTTTCCTGTTGAATTATCTTGCTGTCCCATTACAAGTAAAAAAATACTTACTATATTTTATTTAATTTTATGTGTGTGTGTTTGTTTATGTGAATGTGTGCCAAATGTATGCCTGTGCCCGTGAAGGCCAGAAAGGGGCATCAGATACCTTGGAGCTGGAGTTCCGGGTGATTGTTAGACACCTGCTGTCAGTACAACAAACTAACTTGCATCTTCTGGGAAAATAGCAGGTTTTTGTAGGTGATCTTTCCAGCCCCTGAATAACTTTTTTTTTTAAAAGACATTTATTTTATGTATATGAATACACTGTTGCTGTCTTCAAACACACCAGAAGAGGGCATCAGATCCCATTACAGATGGTTGTGAGCCACCATGTGGTTGCTGGAATTGACCTTAGGACCTCTGGAAGAGCAGTCAGTATTCTTAACCACTGAGCCATCTCTCCAGCCCCCCTGAATAACTTTTTATTGATTCACCTGTTTGTTTGTTTTTTTTTTTTTTTTAGGGCTCTTCTATTTTGACATAATGTTCCCTCCTCATGATCAGTGTGTGTTTGTGTGTGTGTGTTTATTTATTTTTGCTATTCTTATTTTTTCTTTATATACCTAATATAACACCAACTGGTTTATATTATATAAATCTAGGCTTCACTTCTCAACCATATACTTACTATCCTAATTTTTTTGTGTGTGTATGTGTTTAATTCAAGACCTTACATATGATACTCTTTGGTGCTATTAAAATCAAACTTGGTATCCACATAGTTTATAAATACTGTTGGCTTTCTAACTTGTCCTTTTGCTATCCTGTGCTGGTTATTGTTATGGGAAGATAAAAGGTACTGTTAGTGTTTGGTAGGTATGTTTACTTTATCTCTAATCAGAAAAGAGGTCTAATGGGTCTAGTTATATATAAATACTCTGTTAGTTTTACTTTGCATTTACACAAGATTCTACTTAAATTAATGAGTGTCTTACATTGTTTTTAACAAGTAAACTTTATATATTTTCTTAAACCTCTTGTCTTAAGCAGGATTGCTTCACAGTGGAGGGAGAAGATCTGAGGCATGATTTTGAACGCTTACAATTGGCCATGGAAATGGTAGGATTTCTTCCCAAGACACGAAGACAGTGAGTTTTAAAATTTTTATTCATTTACTTATGTAATTTTATTATTTCCAGTAGTAAAAAAAACATGATGTGTCTTTAAGAGATCTCCATCTTAATTCTTTTAAAAACATTTTTTATTCTTTGACAATTTCTTACATGTATACATCTGTATTATATAGTCTTTAGCTTCCTCGTCTTCCTTTTCCTCCTTCTATAACCCCATGAATAGAATTAGTATTGCTTGCATAGGCGTGGAGCCTACCAGCAGTCATATCTATGAAGAAAAATAACTCCTCTCTCTGAGTAGCCACCAGTTGCCAGTAACTCCTCTGCTAGGATGGAGCCTTGTGAATACTTCCCATAGCCATCCTGAGGTTACTCACTGGCTTGATTTTGGTCAAGTCTTTCTCAGGTTTTCATAGATCTCTGAGTTGGTAAGTTCAGCGACCATGTAATGTTCAGAAGACAGTATTTTGCAGCACTCCTCTCCATTCTTTGGCTCTTGACCCTGTCTTTGGTGGTGTATTCTGAGCATTGTGGGATTTATCCACAAGTCTCTCTAAGGGAATACTCAATAGTCACGTATTCCTAACACTTTGACCAGTTATGAGTCTCTGCATTGATTGCCCACTGCAAAAAGAATCTTCTTTGACTATGGTTGAGAGCAGCACTAATCTGTGGGTATAACATATATTTAGAAGGCAGTTTGACAGAAAGTCTTTAGCAAAATAATGGTAGTGGGTCCTACTGGGGCTGTGACTGCTCAGTCTCCTGGACTTTTGGCCATGGTTACAGTATTAGCCATGCATTCCTTTCTGTGGCGCAGGCCTCAGATCCATCAGAAACATAGTTGGCTATCTTCATAAGAGTCATGCCACTTCCTGTGGTTCTTTTGAACAGTTTTATAGATGGCATCACTATTGCCTTAGTCATATTAAGGTTTGAGTGTCCTCCTGCTCCCTGTTTCATTATATAATCTTTGAGAAGCTAATGGAAGCTAAAACGCTTTGGTAAGATGTATGTTCATAAACATTTGCATATAATTTGAGGACTCATAAAGCTTCTTGAAGCTGTATATAGACATATCTTAAAAACTACTGTTTTTTTTAAATTACAGCTTTTCATTTTCTGTATCAGTGAATTTTAGTGTTAGGTTATACATGTCTATATGTAACATGTAATATTACATGCATATTTGCATGTTTGCTTTTATTTTAAAATTTCTTGATATGTGACTGTAGCTCCATGATAAAAGTGTTTGCCTTCCATACACAAGACAATGGACTCAATCCCTGGCAGCAACACCCTCAAAAATCAAACAAAAAACAGCAGAAAAACCACAGAGTTTTTATACATGGTAATATAAGCAGAATGAAAATGGAAGAACTCTTGATAGGGCTGGAGAGATGGCTCCTTGCATGAAGTTCCTGCTACGGAAACATGAGTGATGGCTTTCAGATCCTCAGAACGCACATTAGAAAAGCCTGGGAGGCATGGTGGTCCCAGTGGATAGGGAGCAAAGAGAGGGAATTTCTAGAGCTAGCTGGACAGTGAGGAGAGCCAAAATGGCAAGCTCTTTTAGCAAGAGACCTTACCTCAATATATGCCTCAAGGAGAAGAGAGATTTTCCTATTCACACCTGTGAACTGGAGATGGCTCAGAAGTTAATTAACCCTGGATGCTCTTCAATTCCCAATGCCCACATGACTCCTCAGAACCATGTTACCTCCAGTTCCAGGGAATCTGCTGTCCTCTTCTGGCCTTTGTAGGCACTACATGAATGTGATACATAGATACACTTGTAGGCACATTCATAAAATAATAAAAACTTAGATAAAAGACACTCAATATCTCCTTTGGGCCTTCACATGCATTAACATGCATACGCACTCTGTGTACTCACACTTACACGTGTACAGGACAGTACAGCAACATACATATACCAAAACCCATTTATTTTAGAAAATGAAGTAATTTATATTTAAGCGCACTGTTTAAAATTAAAGGTACAATCTTGTCTTTTTAGCAGAGGAATACTTTTTTTCATAACTTTCATCTGTTTAATTTTAGAGGCAGGGTCTTCTTATTATATATTGTTTAGACTGCTTCAGAGATCTGAGTGTAAAGGTCTGTCTTAGCCTCCTGAGTAACTCAAACTACAGACAGACACTTTTGTATCTAGCTGTTTTTAGAACTATTTTTGAAGTGTTTGTAGGATTCATGATAAATGTAATTTGTTTAATATTTAACATACAGTTTAAATGATAAAATTTAATTAAAATTACTATCCTTTTGTGAAGATTAAATACTTCGTAGTTTGTACAGATGGATTTGTTTTGGATTTTTGAGTGAAATGAGCTTTGAGAATGCACATTGCAAACTTTAATCTGTGCTTTTATTTTCATAGGATTTTCTCTCTTCTCTCAGCAATACTACATTTGGGTAATATCTCATATAAAAAGAAGACCTATCGCGATGACTCTATTGATATCTGTAATCCTGAAGTACTGCCCATTGTCTCAGAATTATTAGAAGTGAGTCATTCATTTTCAGTCCTTATTTTAGATACTGAGTAATGTCTTATTTTTATCTTATATGTCCTTTAGCTTGTAAGTGGGTTTATTTAGTTAAAAATGGAATTATTTGATACTATTTCAAAATAGTGTTTTCAGAAGTTGGAATCCCTTCTGGATCTCTGCCTTACTTTACTTGTGAGTGTTCCAGGATCCTTAAGTCTGTCTTTTCTTCCTTGCCTTCCTTTGTTCCCAATACAGATAACCCTCAGTTTTTTTATTAGGATGACTATTCCCACTCTACACTGTGTAATGTCCTGGGCACATGCCAATGTTGCTCTTTCCAATTTGATATTTTTCAGTAAAATTGTGGTTAGATGATTTTATTTGAAGATAGGTATCCTGGTGAGTAGAGAGAAGAGGTGCAACTACCAAATTTCGTTCTTAAATGGCTTGAAGGAGGACTTAAAGGTCAGGCCCTATGCTTCTTTGTACATCAGGCTCTTTTGTATACAATAGTGCCCACTTTTTGTCCTGAGTGGGTTTTGACAAATGTATGAAGTCATGTATCCACTATCACAGCCTTACACAGAATCTTTTCACTGCTCTAGAACTCCTTTTCATGTTAATTTCTATTTTTCACATATAATATAATTATAGAGTTATTAGTATTTCTGGAATGACTTACTTTACTTGGTAGCATGCTTTGCTTTTTTTTTTTAAATAATTGTTTCACGTCCTTTTGTTGTTGTTGTTGTTGTTGTTTTATTATTTTTTTTTTTGAGACAGGGTTTCTCTGTGTAGCTCTGGCTGTCCTGGAACTCACTCTGTAGACCAGGCTGGCCTCGAACTCAGAAATCCTTCTGCCTCTGCCTCCCAAGTGCTGGGACTAAAGGTGTGCGCCACTACTGCCCGGCGGTAGCATGCAGTTAAGATGCATCCTTTTAGGTCAGGTGGTGGTGGTGGTGGTGGCGGTGGCAGAACATGCATGCTGTTAATCCCAGCACTTGGTAGGCAGAGGCAGGTGGATCTCTGTGAGTTCAGTGCCAGTTTGTTCTACATAGTAAGTTCCAGGACTACATAAAGAGACTTTGTCTCAAAAACAAACAAACAAACAAACAAAAACACCATTCTTTTACCTCTGGGTAATACCTACATTGTGTGGGTGTGTACTATAGTTGTTAATCTACTTATGAATCTTGTTTCTGGTTTGGGGCAGTTAGGAATAGCTTCATTTGGGTTTTTTTTTTTTAATTATTTGAAATTCCAAATAATACCTTTCAGGTCTTGGTTCATATGTTCCTTCATTGTGAATAGTACTGGTTACTTGTCCTTGCCATAATTTAGGTTAGTTTTTAGAGAAAATGGTTTATTATTTACCAGTATGTGTCTGTTATAATGCTACAGTGCCAGTTGAGAGCATTGGATATCTCATTTTCATATCTCTAATTGCAGTGTTTATTTTTCTTTATGACTGGTCATTGATTTTTAACTTTAATAGAATGATACTGTGATAGAAAAGGCTGGAAAAAAGGAGTACCTTTAATTGGAGCTAGATGCACTCATTGGAACAAATTTCTACCAACATGTAGACTGTTGTATCTGTATCTGAAGGCTGTAATTTTGATGGTCATAGATTAAATTTCAGTCATGCATTTCAGGTAATATTTTAGTTAACCATTTAGTATTATGGTAAGTTAGGACATTGTGCCTGCTGGTCCTATTTTAAACCTAGACATAACTACCAAGGATTCTATTCTTTTTTTTGTTGTTGTTTTTTTTTTTTTTTTCGAGACAGGGTTTCTCCGTATAGCCCCTGCTGTCCTGGAACTCACTCTGTAGACCAGGCTGGCCTCGAACTCAGAAATCCACCTGCCTCTGCCTCCCAAGTGCTGGGATTAAAGGTGTGCGCCACCACTGCCCGGCTCTTTTTGTTTTTTTAAGGCACAGATTAAAATTTATTTTACTACTATCAATATATATTTATATATTTTAATTATCGTTAATCTTTTTTTACAGTCCAGTCATTCTACTCTTCCCAGTCCACCCTCGACAGTTTCTCAGTCCATTCCTCCTCCCTTATCTCCAAGCGGATGCCACCCCAACCCCACCCCAGTAGACCTCCCCACTCCTTGGGGCCTCAAGTCTCTTGAGGGTTGTTTGTTTGTTTGTTTTTGTCAGATACTAGTTAGCGAGGTTCAGGGAACTTTTTACAAGAAAAATTCAGGGTTTGGGAAATGACTCAGCTGGTAAAGTGTCTGTTATACAAGCATGAGTACCTGAGTTTGGGTACACATACTCAGGTAAAAGCTGGTTTTGTCGTGACTGTAGTATAACCCTAGCACTGGGAAGGTAAACATGAAGGAGGATGGCAGGAAAGGCAAATACCTTGAGCTTACTGGCCAGTCAGTATAGTCAGCTAGGCAGTGAGCTCTGTTTCCATAAGAGACCTTGCCTGAAAAAATAAGGTAGAATCAGGCATAGTGGCCATGTCTTAAATCCCAGTACTCAGGAAGAAGAGGCAGATGGATCTTCTGTGAGTTCTGGGTCAACCTGGTCTACATAGTTCCAGAACAGCCAGGGCTACACAGAGACATTCTGTCTCAGAAAACATAAAGCCAAAGCAAAACAAAATGTGATAGGCAGAAATAAGTGAATACCTGACGTTGACTCCTGCCTTCTACAGTGCCTGTATACACACATCCCTCTCACACAGCAAAGGTTCTGTGTACACACATCCCTCACACAGCAAAGGTTTTGTATACACACATCCCTCTCACAGCAACGGCTCTGTACTGAAAACCAGATTATTTTATGTGTGTAAGCATTTTGCTTGTATGTATGTATGTGTATCACATGTGTGCCTGATCAACCAAGAAGTTTACAAGAAGATGTCAAGTTTCTTGGAACTGGAATTATGATGGTTGTGAGCCACCACATGGCTAATCAGAACTCAAACCTGATCCTCTGCAAGAACAAGTTTTCTTAACCACCAACCTATGTATACAGTTTTCCCCTCCCCCCTTTTTATTTTTTAAATAATTCAGTCAGGCGTTGATGGTATATGCCTGGAACCTCAGCACTCAGAAGATTCACCATGAGTTTGAAACTAGTCTGGGCTACTAAGTGAACCTCTGTCATAAATAAACAAGATACTATTGACTTCTGGGGTAAGAGTTAAAACAAAGAGTCATCTTTATCTCAGAGTTTAATACTCATGTATAAAAATATTTTTCTGGAACATAAGTACTCACTAGAAGTATTCTCCAAATTTAAGGAGTGCTTTTGTCTTTTAGTTTGTCTTCTTAACTTTAGATTGTGAAGTCTAGAAAAGCATGTGTGTAAATACATACGTGTGTGTGTATGTGTGTGTGTGTGTGTATGTATGATATCTGTAATGTTGGTGAGAACTCTTGACCTTTTACATGCTAGACAAGCTCTCTAGAGTTAAACACTCACTTGGAAGCATACATTGAAAAGAAACCGTTTGTTAACTTTTTTAATTCTATTTTAGGTGAAGGAATTTTGGTTAGTGGTATGCTTAAATTTCACTTTAGTCATTATTAAGATCGCCTATGTATTTTCTTTGCATTTCTTTATATTCATTGCATATTCTGACTTTCATTAAAGTATTTCTTTACTTAGCTTTTCAATATAATTCATTCACTCTCATAAATCTTACATATTGAATATACCATTCTGCTTTCTAGGTTAAAGAAGAGATGCTATTTGAAGCACTAGTTACAAGGAAGACAGTGACAGTGGGAGAAAAACTTATTTTACCATATAAACTGGCAGAGGTATGATTTTCTTGTGCTTAAAAGTATTTTGACTATTCTAGAATAAAGGGTTTATAGGGTGTTTTCCTTTCCTCTTTTAAAGTGAAGATGACATAAGGTAAAATGTATTAATTGAAATATTTTCTAGGAAAAACTATGAATTTTCCATACATTTGGAAGCTTAAAATTCAGTGTGGTTTTATATTTGCTTATATATTAAAATGTAATAAGACAAAACAAAACTTGTCACATCAAAGTTGGGCTAGCAGAAGGAAAAGAGCCTAAGAGAAGGCACAAAAATCAGAGGCCCACTCATTTGCATACTCAAGAATCCAGTAAAAACACAAAAATGACGCCAGAGAGACCTGGTGCAGGGCCCTGGGTATGCTGCTTCAGTGTCTGAGTTCATGTCAGCTTTGCTCATGTTGATTTGGAGGACCTTGTTTTCTTCATTTTCATTGGCTCTTACAGTATTTCTGCCTCCTCTTCCAAAGGGAGGGATTTGATGAAGGCATCCCATTTAAGGGCTGGGATTCCAAGGACTCTCACACTGTGTCTGTCTGTGGGTCTCTGTATTTATTTTTACCTGCTGCAGAAGGAAGCACTGACGATGGCTGAATAAGGCCCTGATCTATGAGTGTAGCAGAATGTCATTAGGAGTCATTTTATCATAGTGTGTTGTTTTTTAAGAGTAGTGTATTTGGTTTTACCCTAGGTTCCTGGACTTTCTAGCCTCTGGTTCTTGGTCATTCGTGCAGGGTTAGGTGTGGGTTCCATCTTGTGGAGTAGGTCTTAAGTCAAATCAGATATTGGTTGATTATTCACACAAGCTTTGTGCCACCATTGCCCTACCGTATCTTGCAGGCAGGATAGCAGTGTAGATCAAAGGGTTTGTGGTTAGTTTGGTGTTTATGGTTCTCCTTTGGTAATGTGCAGAGTACCTTCCTGTACCAGAGACTTGGCATGGTTTTAAGTAGTAAGCTTTCATTTTTCCTCAAGGTTTTTTGACAAAAAAGATTTCTTAATTTATGTTTATGAGTGTTTTGTCTGCATTTATGTCTTAGTAACATATGTGTGCAGTGTCTATGGAGGACAGAGTTAGAGACATGTGTGAGGTGCCTTGTAGGTGCTGGGAACTGAACCCAGGTCCTCTAGAAGAGGAGGCAGTGCTCTTAACCTCTGAGCAGTCTTTCCAGACCCTCTTCAAGGATTTTAATTTTTATCTTTCCATCCCATTGAACTCTGGATCTGGTATATATTAGACAAGTATTCTACTGCAGAACTAAATCTCCAGCCTTCTTTATTATTCTATTTCATTTTAATATTGTAGGGCAGACAGATGATGGATAGAATTGTAAATGAGAGCAGTATTTCATTCCAGTGGTTATGTCTTCTTCAGTACTGTCTTCAGTCATTTGCTGCTCATCATATTTTGCCTTCTTTTTTAAAAAAATTGCTGGCCAGTCTTTTAAGGTTTATTTTACATCCTTTTTGTTTCTTACTAAATTCTTTTTTTTTTTCCTAAAAGCAAAAAACAAAAAGTAAAAACAAAAAAACAACCCCAAATCCATGGTGGGAACAAAGCTATTTGTGGCAGCTAAGAAGCAGTGGACACCACAAGAAAAGACTAGAGCAAGATATCAGCCCCAAGACACACTCCAGTCTTGGGGTGACTTCCTCCATTCAGTCACCTTTTATAGTTCTTGTCTCATAAATCCATCAGTGGCATTAATTATTCATTCCATTAGAGTTCCTGTAATATTATCTCTGCAGATGCCCTTGTAGACACACACAGAGGTGTAAATTTCTAACCTCTTAGTCATCCTAAGTCCAGTCAAGTTAGTAGTCAGTATTAACTGACACAAGCAGGGAAGCATGCACAGCATGTCAGTAGCGAATAGGATATTTCAGGGCCTTTTAGTCACTGAAGTTAAGATGAGTTCAGAAGCTATGATAGTCAGGAGAAGAAGTTTGCTTTGTGTAGAGTGTGGTGACATGCTAATAAAGGGAACAACAAACGTCATGTGATATGATCAGTAGGACTGAGTAAGAACTTAAATAATGGGAGACAGGATAGAAATGGAAATGGTAGGCCAGACTGTGTAACATAGGGGATTACTAGAGAGTAGAGCGTAAGGTAGAAGTTACAGGGTTATAAATATAGGCTAATTTGGTAATTTGGTATATGTGGATTACTTTATTTTAAAGTAAAAGATTATATATATATATATATATATATATACACACACACACACACACATATATGTGTCTGTGTGTGTCTGTGTGTGTCTGTGTGTGTACTCTATTGTACTACTGTCATGACTACATGACAGAAGAGGACATCGGATCCCATTATAGATGGTTGTAAGTTACCATATGATTGCTGGGAATTGAACTCAGGACCTCTGGAAGAAGTCTTAACCAGTGCTCTTAACCTCTGAGCTATCTCTTTAGCCTCTGTTATTGTATCTTAGTGAAATTATTACCACTCCACTTTGCACTCATAATTCTCTTTGTGTTTTGTAGGCTGTGACGGTGAGAAACTCCATGGCTAAGTCTTTATATAGTGCTCTGTTTGACTGGATAGTGTTTCGTATTAATCATGCACTCCTGAATAGTAAAGATTTGGAACAAGATACTAAGGTAAAGATCTGTTTTATTATATTTTACCTGAAGAGTGTTTAATTAACTGGTGAGTACTTGAACTTTTAAGGGATAGAATTATGTAGAGTTGTATCAACTTACTTATTTCTCTATTCACACATCTTGTGTGTCTTTCCACACCAGTCCTCTATATATTTACATGCTATGATCATTATATACAGAGTTGTATATTAAAAGTAGAAATAGAAACAGAATCAGATTTTGTATTGTTCCAGAGTTTGTTTTCTATATAAAAATCTCTTCAAATAGATTTATGTAAAAATACATTTTAACATAAGATTTCTTGGACTATATCATTATATATTTTTAATAATTGTATAATACTAGCTGGGAATGCTGGCTCACACCTTTAATTCCAGCACTTGGAAGACAGAGGCAGGCGGATCTCTGGATTTCTCTCTTAGTTACTTTTCAAATATTTATGCTGTAAGTTTCATTCATTCATCTATTCTGTCATTCTTTTATCATTTTTTCACTTATTCATTTATTTATGTAAGAAGGCTTCTTTTAGAATGAAGACCAAGTGGGGGTGCTTCGATCCTTCTTAGAAGGAGTAACAAAATACTTAAGGGAGCAAATATGGAGACAAAGTGTAGGACAGAAACTGAAGGAGGGCCGTCTGCAGACCATTCCTGGGTATCCATTCCATGTACAGTCACCAAAGGTAGACGCTGATGTGGATGTCAGGAAGTGCATGCTGACAGGAGCCTGACATAGCTATCTCCTTAGAGGTCTGCCAGAGTCTGAAATATTCAGAGACAGATGCTCACAGCTAACCATTGGACTGATCATGGGGTTCCCAATAGAGGAGTTAGAGTGAAAACTGAAGGAGCTGAAAGGGTTTTTGGCCCCATGAGGAGAGCAACAATACCAACCAACCAGAGCCCCCAGGGTCTAAACCACCAGCCTGGGAGCACTTAGGGAGGGACCCATGGCTCCAGCTATATATGTAAGGGAGGATGGCCCTGTCAGATATAGGTGGGAGAGAAGATCCTTGGTCCCATGAAGGCCGGAAGCTGTGTGTGGGGGAATTCGAGGGTGGGGAGGTAGAAGTGGGGGGTTAGGTGGGGGCATATCCTCATAGAAGCAGGAGGAGGGGGGATGGGATAGGGGGTTCCTGGGCGGGAGGGGAGGGAATGGGGTAAGGGGAGAACATCTGAAATGTAAATAAAATATCCAATAAAAATAATTTAAAAAAAGGCTTCTTCTAGCCCAAGTTTGTAAAATATTCAGTATTATACTTTTAGAATTTATTTTTAGATTAGAACTTTTGTTTGTTTGGGTGTTTTTTGTTTTTTTGGGTTTTTTGTTGTTGTTGTTAATTTTTGAAACAGGTTCTCTCTACATAGTCTTGGATGTCCTGGAGGTCACTATGTAGGCCTGACTGTAGTTAGTATTTCTAAACTTAAGAATTATTTTTTACTTACACGTGCATGGTTTGCACACGTGCTTTTGTGTGTGTGTGTGTGTGTGTATATATTCAGTGCCCTTAAAGGCCAGAGGTATCAGATTCCCTGAAACTGTAGTTACTATGATTTTTCAGTCACCTGATGTAGGTGAAGGGAGAATAACATGGGTCCTTTGCAAAAGCAATATGTTCTCTTAATCACTGAGCCATTTCTTTAGCCCCCAAATATGCTTTCAAATTGGAATGAAGTATATTTTCCTCTTACAGTGGTTTTATCTGGTGATTTATGTCAGTGATTTACAGATTGCTGTATATTTTATTTGAATACTGGACAGAACCAGTACTGTTACAGAAAGGAGTATTTTATTACTTGTAATGAAAGTAAATTTGAAACTTCGTTTTGATTAAATTTCTCTTGTTTTACAGACTTTGTCCATTGGTGTTCTTGATATTTTTGGGTTTGAAGATTATGAAAACAATAGTTTTGAACAGTTCTGTATTAATTTTGCTAATGAACGTTTACAGCACTACTTTAATCAGCATATCTTTAAGTTGGAGCAAGTAAGTATCTAAATATATAGTTACCCTCCTGCTTAAACTTTTGAATCAATTTCATAACTGTTTTCTAGCCTGCATTTTGTTTCAGATGGTGTGGTGGTCACTATAAGGAAATGACAAATCAGAGCAGAGTTTTTTCAACCACGTTATACAGAACTTTCCTTTTTTAGTAGTTGCTAGATGCATCTGTTAATTTGTGTTTGTTGACATGTATCTTTGATGAATCATGCATCCTTTTTAAGGGTGTTATATTTTTGTTGATACTGAGTGTGGTCACTTATTATCTTTAATATTTATTTAACTGCTTTGGTCTCTACTTATATGAGATCAAAGATTCTTGAGAAGCAGAGTGTGGACACAAAGATGTTTCCTGGGGCTGGAGATCTGGTTCAGCAGTTTAGAGCACTTGTTTCTCTTGCTAATGACCTGGGTTCAGTTCCTAGCACCCACATACTGTCTCATAATCATCTGTAATTTCAGTTCCAAGGGATCTAACACCCTTTTTAACTTCTCTGGGCACCAGGCATACATGTGATACACATAATAAATACACGCTGGCAAAACATTCTTACACCCAAAATAAATCTAAAAAGTAAAAATAAATAAATCGTGAAAACGACAAAGGCATTTTTTGGTGAGAATCTTAAGATTGATGACTATTAGTTTTGTTACAATCATTAAGGGGAAAGGGACCTAAAAGATATGGGGCTCTTCTCCAGGTTTTGTTTAAAATCAGTTTTAGACTCAGTTTATAACCCAGAATTTCAGTTTATATAGTAATGACTTAGGCAACTATAATAAAGATTTATCACAATCAACTTAAAAGAAATGCTAAGTAATGGAAAGTGAATGCAAAACCCAACATAATTAGTTGGCCTACTGAATAATTTAAAAGCTATTTCTACCAGCTAGCTTCTACAAAGTATAATGATATGTATATAAATGCTATAATAAAGTTTATTGCTCTATATGCTAACTTAAAAATTAAAATTTACTTGTGTGTGTGTGTATGCACACGCATGTATGGGTGTGTATGTATGTACAGGCATGTGCTGTGGCATACCAGGTGGAGGTCAGAGGAAAACTTTGTGGATTCATGGATTCAGTTCTCTTCCTCTACCTTTGTGTTGTAGGGATTGGTCTCAGATCATTAAGAGTGTGGCAAGTACCTTTTATTGAACCATATTCCTGGCTGGTTTTGTTGTCGTTTGTTTTGTTTTTTTCTAAAGGGTGGTTACGTAAGAGTTTTTAGGGTTGGCTACTTTGATGAATACTTAAAGTATTCAATATAATTGAAGTTTTAGAAATAATATTAATTCTTCCGTGTATGTGTGTGTGTGTGTGTTTGTTTGTTTGTAGTGTGTGCATACTGGAATGAGTGAATGAAAGTCAGGGACAATGTGGAGATTCTTTCTCTGGGTCAAACAGGCTATTTGAAATAGATTCAGTGATTGATTAACAATCATGTGGAATAAAAGACAAATTGAAAAGTTTCTGATATTTGAAAATGCTCGTGTTAGCATTTTTAATGCTGCCCATTTCTTTCCTTTACATGCTCTGAGTTATCCTTACTATCATTGATTTATTACTAAATTGAATGACAATTACATATGTCAGGCATTGTCGTAAGCACTGAAAACAAAGTTTGGAGCCTAGGAGTTTTACTGAGGAGTTTGTACCTAGCAATTTTTCTTTTATGGCATATTGGTGGTATCAGACTAACCTAGACTTTGAGGATAGTCATCCTCACCCCACTCCACTCCACATCCTAGTAAAAACCCAAACAAAAAATAAAAAAAATGAACTTTAAGGCTTGGTTTACCTTCCGATAAGTGAAAACCTAGGCGTGTATGGAACAAACCTGTATAGGGGACCCTAGTATTTGAAGGTTGCTCTCTTTCTAAAAACATTTCCCTGTTTTGGTAAAAGGTTGCTGAGCCAGTGATAAGGATTCAAAGAGCAAAGGGGAATTTTCTGATAAGTGGAAACCCATGGTTGCTGTTAACTTCAGGCTTAGTGCACCCAGAGGGTATGGTACCTATTATTTTATTCCTAATAGGGAATGAAATAAGCGAGAAAGAGCTATAGCATCCTAAAAACTGAGGCTGTTTAAGAAGTTTCCACTCCATAGTAGGTCAGAACAGTAGGATTTGAGTATTTTAGTTATCTTTTTTTTTGTTTGTTTGTTTTTCGAGACAGGGTTTCTCTGTGTAGTCCTGGCTGTCCTGGAACTCACTCTGTAGACCAGTCTGGCCTCGAACTCAGAAATCTGCCTGCCTCTGCCTCCCAAGTGCTGGGATTAAAGGTATGCACCACCACTGCCCGGCTTTAGCCATCTTCTGATTCAGTCTTTTTTTGTAGGAAAAGACCACTTTACTGCTACAATTATCTCTATTTAGTTTTTAAAAAAATCAAAACAGAATAAAGAGAAGGAAGGAAGAAAAACATGGAAGTAAGTTAGTAGGATAAGTGTTACAGTTCATAGTAACAAGGGTGGAGTTGAGGGGACTGTCAAGATAAGGACCTTAACAGACATGATCTTCATGTATGGTTTTGCTGGGCAGTGGTGGCAAATGCTTTTTATCCCAGCACTCGGGAGGCAGAGGGAGGAGGAGTTATACTTAATCACTAAAGGAGCCAGCCTGGTGTTCAGATCAAATTGCAGGAGAGCAGGATAGCCAGGGCTACGTAGAGAAACCCTGTCTTACAAAAACAATAAACAAACAAATAAAAAATAAAAATAAAGTATAGTTTTAAGAAAAATTTTCTTTCAGTAAGTTTAAAGATTTTAATTTATTTGTATTACATGCATATGTTTGCATGCTTGCTTGTTTTTATGTGTACCACATGTATGCTGGTGTTTGAGGAGGCCAGAAGAGGGAGTCATATCCTAGAACTTTAGTTACTACGGGTAGTTCCAACTACCCAGCTCACTTCTCTCTGCAAGAGCAGCAAGTACACTTAGCCACTAAGCTATTATTCCAACCCCATGAAGAAAAATTTTATATTAGAGCAATGTATTTATTCTAAACTTTCTTTTAAAAAGTCCTTAAATTTTTCCTAATCTAGGGGAAATTAAGACTACACACTTTTTGGTTCAGAGAGAAGGTACAGCGAAAAGAACACTCACTGGCTGTTCTCCCAGAGGACCCAGGTGCAATTCCTAGTACCCACAAGGCAGCTCAGAGCTGTCTTTACTTTAGCTTCTGGGGAGTCAGCATCCACTTTCTGTTCTCTTCTGACCTACACAGGCACTAGGCATACATATGGTATACAGACAAATGTGGTATTCAGACATAACACCTATGTATATAAAATAAAAATTTTAAGAGAAATACAAGATATCTCTTTGGTGAAGATTCCTTAATGATCAAAATTTAGAAAGCCAACATTAGCAGACATTTAAAGACAGTAGATGGGCCTGTGCCTACAGAGTTTACTGAGGATGTTTTTGGTACCTGTATGAGCTTAGTATGTACTTTGGTTTAAGAGTGACACTCCTCAGAACCTCTTCTCACAGATGCCTAGCAAAGGTGAAACAGGGAAACTAAGTTGGCTTAATGGAGATTCTATGTCTTCTTAGTTTTGCTCATCGTCCTCCATACCATGATATGAGGTGATAGAGAAGTTGTCTAGGTTATTATTAGTTTTGAACCTTCTCTAGATGCCCAGTCGACTTGCAGAATGTTGATAAAAGTATTGCTACCAACCCTCCTGCTACTAGGAACTCCTGGGTACCATTTATCCAGCATGCTTTTACCTTACTGTTTTCACCTAGAGCAATAGTTGTGTGGATACCGAGGCACTCATTCTATCTCTACAGATGTGACAGACGCAGTTCTCTATGTGACCATCTTGATGTCAACAATACCCATGAGAAGCTAGTTCCACATATATGACAAACTCTCTCCAACCCCCACTCAGTGAGGTTAAAGGAAACACCCATTCAGTATCATATCTGTGACTGTCTGGTATGGTTAAAGGAACTTCGCAGTAGAAAGAAATTTTGGATTTGCCTCCTGCTGTCTTTAAGACTTTGTAGGAATGAGGCCAGAGTTTTAGCCTGGACTCATGCTGTGTCTACTTGGGGGTGGTAGTAATATTATAATAAAATAGACAGATAGGGTTGGATTATTAAATCAATATGCCATAATCTTACATTGGTAGAGATCTTCATATTTTGATGCAAAAAATATTTTTTTTATCTTGGTATATTTTCTTATCTTGGTAAAAAATTTTGTATATTAATACAGGTTTAAGGTTTTCATTGGCATAAATCTTTGTATATTGATTTGTATGTAGAGAGATGATCTTTAAAAGTGACAGAGGGGCTGGAGAGATGGCTCAGTGGTTAAGAGCGCTGACTGCACTTCCAGAGGTCCTGAGTTCAAATCCCAGCAACCACATGGTGGCTCACAACCATCTGTAATGAGATCTGATGCCCTCTTCTGGTGCTTCTGGTGTGTCTGAAGACAGCTACAGTGTATTCATATATAATAAATAAATAAATCTTAAAAAAAAAAAAGTGACAGAGATCCACAAAGTATGGCATTTAATATAAGTTCATTATTAAAAGATCTCTGGACTGTGAGACATATCTGCTCCTGACAGTACCCCTGTTCCACTTCAAAAAAGATGATGAGCATCAATGACCTTCCATATTGAGTTGCTTCAATTGTGATAAGCTAGCTGCTGGGCAAAAAAATGCCCTAATTTTATCTGCAGACACAAGTAGAATGATTTTTCATGATCATGAATTAGAAGGATTACTATTGTAAAGACAGCTGTACTGTCAGAAGTGGGGTGTAAATTCAGTGCAGTCATCATCATTCACTCTTAGTGGAAATAAACAATCCTAAAATTCACACAGAAGTGCAAAAGACCCCAAGTAGCCATAATGGTCCTCACCATGAACAGTGATGCAGGAGATACTACTATACCTGATTTCAAGTTATAGTAAAGAGTCATAACAACAAAACACGTAGTACTTGTACAGAAATGGACATGTCGATCAGTACAGTAGGTTAGATGATTCAGATGAAACCACATGTAGCCGCAGCTTACTTAAGCCTTTGTCATGTACTATTATTTTCTGTGAGATAAATAAGTTGATATTTTGTTTTTTTCTAGGAGGAATATAGAACTGAAGGTATAAGTTGGCACAACATAGATTATATTGATAACACTTGTTGTATAAATCTTATTAGCAAAAAACCAACAGGACTTCTCCATCTTTTGGATGAAGAAAGCAAGTGAGTATTGTGCTTTTCTGTTTCCTATCTGAGCACTGTGCTTTTTGAGTGCTTCACCTTTGTGTGTGACAGCACCTCCCTGTGGAACTATGGCCAGGTTGGAACTAGGACTACTGCAGCCTCGGGGTAGCCTCAGATTCACAGTAGTCCTTATTCTTAGGCTCCTTCGTGTTTGCTTTACAAGCATGTACCACCAACTAACTAGCTTATGTCTAAGGAAGGGCAAGCGTTCTGATAATGTTTCAAACAAAGACCTATGGGTTTTCTGTATTTGTCTGGAAAAAAAATACAGTTTTGTGTAATAGATTGTGCTTTTTTCTTGAACAGTTTTTTCCAGATTTCTTTTAGAAAAGTGGATGTTAAGTCTTTTGATATACATTTCTTTATTCTTGAGAACTTCATACATGTATGCAATAAAATATGATTACATCTCCCCCTTCTTTCCCCTCCAGCTCCTTCCATATTACCTCCAACAGTCCAGATTCCATGTCCTGTCCTCTTCCCCCACTTTTTTTTCTTGGGATGGAAAATCCACTGCCTCTGCCTCCTAGGTGCTGGGATTAAAAGAGTGTACTTAGCTATTGTTTTGTTTTGAATATCCACTAAGTCTAAGTAATTCTGCCCAGATATGTATGGATGTAAATCCATCCACTGGATAATGGGAAACTTAACACTGGTCACACCTTGATGCACATTTTTTAAAAGACTTTTTCCCCGTCTCTCCCTCTTTTCTACCCCGTAGGGTCTTGTTATGTAGCCTGGTCTACTCTTGAAGTTGAGATCTTCTTGCCCCTGCCTCCTGAGTCCTGGCATTACAGGGCTGCAATAACTCATACAGCCTTTAAATTGAGTTTTATTTATTTACATTTTATTTGAGGGTGAAGTGTATGTGTCTGCTATTGTGTTTAAATGGACGTCAAAGGACAACATGAAGGAGGAGTTTCTCTCACCACATGGGTCCTCAGGATCAAATTGAAGTTTTCAGGCTTGGAAGCAGTTGCCTTTACCTACTGAACTATCTTACATCTTAGCCTTTGAATTAAGTTTTATACAAGAAATATACTTGCTTTAAAATGAATAATAATTTTAGATACACTTTCTTTTAACGGTTCTCCCTACCCTGAAAACAAAAATAACATATATTTGTGTGTGTATTTTTTAAAAAAGATTTATTTATTTATTTTATGTCTATGAGTTCTCTACTCTGTGTACACCTGCATGTGGCAAGAGGCCATCAGGTCACATTACAGATGGTTGTGAGCCACCATGTGGTTTTCAGGAATTGAACTTGGGACCTCACCTTGTGAAGAGCAGGTCTTAATTGCTGAGCCGTCTCCAGCCCTGTTGTCAGTGTTTGTTGAATACAGGACCTTGGAAGAGCCTTTTTACTTACGCCTACCCTGCTTTTTTTTAAAGAATTTTTTCTCTCTATTTCAAAGAAAGAAAAAAACCTATCATACTTTTAAAGCATCTTGAAGGTTGGGAAGTAAATCGTTACCCGCAGACAGTAAGATGGGTATCTTACTAGGAGAGCAGAGCATCCTGCATGAGTTGTAGTTTGCAGAGGCTGGTTTTCCTGGGCTGGGGTTTGGAATTGCTCGCTATTCCCACCTTCATTATCCGTATGTTTTTCTGTGTAGGATCACCACACAAAGCACTTTGTGAAGGGAATTTTATTGTGATAAATAGGCTTTGTGAATTGAAACAAGCAAGATTAGAATTGGTGATCTTAGTATCCAGCCATGGCATGTCTTCAGACAGTCAGAATTTATAATCTTGTCTACAATGGCTTTAGAGTTTTGGAGTGAGCTTAGATGTTTTAGGATAGGATAGTATTTGAATGCAAAAGGCAATGAGCTTTTAGATAAAGGTGAATGTTGAAAACATACAAAAGGCTGGGTGGCAGCTGTGCCTCCTTTAACCCCAGTGCACAGGAGGCGGAGGCTGGCGGGTCTCGTGAGTTAGAGGGCAGCCTGGTCTACAGAGTGAGTTTGAGAACAGCCGGGGGTATATAGAGAAAGAAACCCTTTCTTGACTACGAGAGAGAGAGAGAGAGAGAGAGAGAGAGAGAGAGAG